AAAATAATTAATCTGTTCCAAATAGTATTTGGTAGAATGATTGGGATTTTTCTCGAAATGTCTCGAAGGCAGGGCTTGGGCGTCGGTAGACCCACCTATATAAGGGATTGACAGGCACGGACGAGGGACGGAGATTTCATATAGATTCTCTTAACATTACGAGGCGTGTTTTATTCTTTTGTGTATTTGTGTGCTCCTACTTAAATGTGTTTATTCCGCATTATTTATTGGCATCATTATTTCTAATTGTATTAAGTGTGTACCGGTACGACATCTGCCATACTGTAAGTTGAAGATTGTAATTTTATTTTATTTTATTTTGTAATTATCTTAAGACATAATAAATCGTAATTAATTGTGACTAGAAACTGTTTTGGGTCGTATCCTTAATATTGTTGATTATATGGTATCGTCCTTTGTTAGGCACTGTTTACAACGAGCCAATTAAAATTAAAATAGGAGATTAATTTCTCCCAATACAAGTCAGTGCGTAACATTAAGTAATTTAACCAACATACAATATAAAATTATTCCCTATAAGTATTTTTTTGAATATCCTTATATATTTATATCCTTGAGATTCTTAAAATCAAACATTTTCCTACCACCCGCCATGTTAGACAGCAGAAGTAACCAGAAGTATATAAGGGTCAGTATAGATCTCTTGTTTTGACGTAAGGTATCAATATGATTTTTACTATTTAATAATAAGTTAATGTATCAGAATGTATACTAATATGATAAAGTAATTTCACAGAGAAAAAAAAAATGATAGAATTGTCAAACTTCAAAAATAATAACGTGCAAATGCGCTGTGTATCAATTTGAACAAAGAGCCAAAATATACACTTTGAATGTGTTTTCTACACACTGAACGGCCTATAAAGAAAAACATTACGCTACTGATCAGATAAGTAGTTCCCTGTCATCTCTCATTAACGTGTGCGAAACAAAAATGTTTGGCTTGTCAATCTGATCAAGCGTGCCCGACGGAAGGTTTACCTACTCCTCACCAACTGTCCACATCTCATCCACGGGATATCAGACCACAGCATACCATATTCTGAATTTCAGGTCAGCGCATTAAAAAAGAGGCATGTTGTATGAGACATCCCAATTTGTGCCAAGGTAGACTGGGATAGCCTGAGAAGTGCAACGACAGAGCATAGCTCTAACTTGCTTCAGATTCAGGGTACAGCGACAAAAGAAGAGCTGGGGATGAAGTTCAAGAAAAAAATTACTAATGCAGTGAAGAACTACATACCATACAAGACCACCAAAATTAAGACTAATAAGCCATAGGTCACGGCTGAAATCCATGGGCTCACCCACAGAAGAGACCGCCAGTACAAGCGATTGAAGAATGGCATGTTGAACTGAAAGCTAAGGTACTGAGGCTCCACCGAACCATCCGACGCTTAAAGTGCAGATCTTTCTAGAAATACCTGCACAGCATCTTCTCAGAGGAAGACACTCAGACCAAGGGTGCCAAAAACAAGGACTTCTGGAGCTATGTCAAGCACCAAAAGTCCTCAAACGCTGGTGTTTCCCCCTAGACAGTGACGAGGCCATGACAAGCAGTTCATAATAGCAAGAACACAGTACAGAAACTATTCATTTCTGCCAATCAGGGACTGGAACATGCTTCCAAAAGGAACAGTTGAGGCGACAACACTTGTCACATTTGCGTCTATTGCCTCCTGCCTTCCAATCCCCAGTTTATAAATCCCTTGCTGAGTAGCCCTTGCAACCAGTGAAGTATCCTCTTCAAAACCATGAACAGAATCATTGCAAAGCCCATCTACATACATTGGAGCCAAAATGATCAATACATTGATTGTTGGCCCTTAAAATATACAAGAAGAATTTTCTTGGTGAACTTGTATTTTTTTATATTAGTTGTCAATGGAGTACATCGCAAATATTATCTTATATGCATGTAATGTGATTTTATCAATGGTGTTTTTATTTTTAATCCATCCAGTGATGAAATTTTGGAGGAGAAGACAAAAAAAATAGAAGAAGAAAGAGGAGAGCCTATGTGCACAATTTTCATGCAAGACTATACCAGAGATTTCCCCAAGTTTGAAATTGAGGACACAAAGGTGAGAATATTGTAAAACTTCTATGCGTTATGTCAAATTAGGTAGCACACAATCCTCTGACATAGTTATCAGCCTTTGAGTGAGGTAACAATATAGGTGTTCACTTTCTAGAACCCATTTTGTGGTAGATCTGATTCAGAAGGTTCATAGGTCTAATGGTTTTCAAGCTATTTTTTTCAAAGACAGAGTTGAGAGAGTCCCATCTGTCAATTGAAATTATTTAATCCTCAACGTAAAGATTATGTCAATAATGATTTTTTAAATTTATTTTACCTCATATCAATTTTAAAATCTAGAACTGTCAGGTATAAACACTTTCAAGAATTGTCTGTTAGCCAAGTTAAGTAATAAGTATCATTTTGATTTTCAGGACCATGACTATGTTAATGAACAGCCAATCACATTCTGGTCTGAGCACAAGGATAAAATGCATGTAAGTATTTTTTTGTAAGGTTAACAATTATTATAGTTAATTTAAATTCATAAGACAAAATAAAACGATATTTGATTATGATATAATTGCATCAGCTTTATCTTAAACGTTTATCACTTTATGATCGTACTTGTTTTATATTTTTAAAAAATATCTTACAATTTTAAATTAAGCTTGATTACTTATGAATATGGCATACATCTGCAGGGTGTGACTCAGACAAAAACAAGAGACTCAGCTTTCAGGCGAAACGATGCTTTTAGTAAACCCATTGGCGAATATTGGGACGAGCCTAAACCATATGATTTAAGCAACTATCCTATGATGTAGTATTATGTCAATGCCTAACATTAACATGCTTCCAAAAAAATCATAAGACTCATAAGACTCTTTCTTAAATGAATCATACATTTTTACAATGCTGATATTTTGAACTTTTAGCATACCAGTACAATAAAAGAAAAATGCTGTTGTACATTTAAATTTAAGGAAGTCGATACATGTCAATAATTTTAGTATATTTTGGAAGCAGATTAATGTGCCAGTATTAAAATTTAAGATGATTTAAATAAAGTATAATTCTCTTATTAGAAAGACAATCATAGTAGAGAAAATAAAATTATATGAACTCTTTGAAAACCACGTCCTAGATGGCTAATTTACACTTAAATTTTGTTCTCAACAGTTTAAAACTTCACATTGTTTAGTGTTCATTGTTAAAAATTTTTCAATAAAATTATTCCAACTAGATTTCTTTCATTTGTACAAAGCCTAACTATTTCACTTACTTTTGTACAAAGATTATTACTTTACATAAACTCATGCTTATATAATCTGTACACAAATTTGTAAATAAATCACATGAAATTACATCTATTAATTAATGTTGTTTTGAGACTGCCTATCTTAGTTTGACTTTTATAAAATTAAATGGGACAAGTGAAATGAACACAAACTAAGACATTACAAATAACTACCAACTTTAATCATTATTAAAAAAAAAAACCAAGATCGAAATAAAAAAAATCAAGAACAACACTATAAATAAAAATTATCAAATGTAATATTTTCAATGTTAAATATGCTTTTTCGTAGTTTGTACAAGTAAAAGATTTAATTTTAAAAACAGAGTTAAATTACATCAGCAAAAGTACTATTCACCCTGCACCATTTATCTATAGAGGAATTTTTAAAAAGAAATGACACTATAATATTTATATGATTAAAAAGCTTTGGAATTATTTCAAATGATCAAAAACAAATAAACAAATCATGTGGAATACAATAAAGAACACAATTATAAGATGAAGGGATGCGCATTAAAACTGAAGCTGCAAATGTTATGGAGGGTTAAGAATACATAATGCAAAATATTCTGTACAGTACTGTATCCCTTGAAATTCTCTACCTTCTCCGCCTCTCATCTCTCTTGGATCTGAAAAAGGAATGTCACAAGTTTTAAAGCCAAACATAAAACAAAGGAAATAAAAACAACTTAAAAAAAGCTTTGTATTTGAAGAAAATAATAATCATAGCTATTAATCCTATGAAATTTAAAGCCACGAAATACAAATTATATATACAATATTACGAAATCATTTTTTAAAATCTATTATTTTTACAGCAAGAGAGTAGTTAGTAGTAGTAAATACATTGTTGCTGTATTAATTTTATCTCCTTAATTTTTTAAAGATTTTTTTTGTCACTGTCAGTCTTGTGGTAAGGAATTACAATATATACAGTTAAAAAGATTTAAGTTTAGCAAAATGCCATAATGATTTAGTTTCTTCTTTACCTGTCTTTTCTAGGACCTCTAACAAAAGCCCAATCAACATTTATTTTTTGCCCCAAAATTTCTTTTCCATTCAGAGCATCCATTGCACTTTGTGCCTCTTTGAAAGTTTCATACTCAACCAAAGCATAGCCCTAAATGAGTTTTTGAAAAATGAATAGTGCAAATTATAATTTAAAATAAGGGATTACAAAAGCATAAAATTATGTTTATAATTTCCCAGTTGTGCAGATTACAAAACATAATAATAAATAATAAGTAGAGCCAATATGCACACAACACTTTTACTATTTTTCTTAAAGCTAATTGATGTATTTTACCTTAATTTGTTAAAACTAATTAATGCCTGGTATTTAGGAGCTAAAAAATATTTTACAAATGTAAATCCATTGCTAACTGGAGTAATTTCCCTTTGTTCAGGAATATGGATCAAGTGTGAATGTGAACAACAGAGAGTTTAAATCTTTTTTTTTTTTTTAAAGTTGATACTGAACACATTAACACCTAACATCTAATTAAGTATAAGTACCTTTAGGAAGCCTGTACGTCTGTCAAGATTTAAATGCAAATTCTTGATTTCTCCATATTCTCCAAATTTTTCATAAATATCATCTTCTTGTGATTCTTCATGAACACCAGTGACAAAGAGGATCCAACCCTCCACAGCTGAAAACGAAAATTGAATTTTTGTGTCCTTATATTTTGGTTCTCAGTTCCTTCTTTCTGCATTAAAAACCTTTTATATTTGGGGTGGAAAAGTGCCTTTTGAGTATGTACTAATGAGCTTCTGAAACTGTCATTTAAAACTTTTGAAATGAGATACAAAACTTTTTAACATGTAATGATAAATTGAATCTTAGAAAACAGTATTACACTTTATTAATGACGTTATTAAATAGTTATTATTAATGTGGTCTTAACACTGGGCTCACCGCGCTTCACATAAAAATATTGGCAACATGACATTAAAAAAATTAAATTCATTTTTTTTTTTAAAAATTTCTTTTTAAAAAACCCCCCCCCCCCCCAAACTATTTACATGTCAAGCCATGGATGGCACCAACCAGCATCGTTTATCATTAAGGGTCAGACTGGAGTGGGAATCAGTCCAAATATTATGTAATAATACCTTTGGTTCAAACCAATATTGAAATATTTTTTTTTTAAACTATAAATATTCATACATTTGTGTACTTCAAATATGAAAAGGTGAAAAAGCAAATGAAACGGTAACGTACATCTTTGAGGTCCAGGTCCTTCGGACTCATCATAGTCCACTTCCATGCCCTCATAGTGATCAACGCCACTTCGTGTGGGACCCTCTGTTGTGAAATAGATTTTTAAAATTTAAAACTCTGATTTTATCAAGTAAAATTGGGATACTTAAAGATGCACTTGCATACATTAAGTCACAGCATTTTAAAGAAATTAGCTTTTTTAAAATCACTGTTCTTACCTTCACCGAAACCTCTGCCTTTCCTCTTTTTAGCCTTTTCTTTCAACTTTTGTAAGCCTTCTGTAGAAAAATAATAATTAAATCTGAAACCTCAAAGTGAATGTATTTTTAACCATAATCATAGCTTTTTCTTTTGTTATGTAAGTAATTATTTATAATTCAAAACGTATGTCAGTTTATAAAATATAGTCTTATGTTCAATAAGAAGATACCAATACTGCCTTGAAAAAAAAAAGGTGGTGGGTGGTGGGGGGGGGAATTCTCTTTACTTGCCCTAGATAACATAGTCAACTTAAATTAATATACCCAGTGTTAAATGTTTAATTCGTTGACTTTTATTTTATGGAAAGTTAAAAGGTCACTTGCAAAGTTATATTGCCTTAATTAGCAAAGTTGGTCACTGGTTTTAGACATTAATTAGGCCCTTACAACTTTACTAAAAAAATCATAACTTCCCTTCTGTAAAAATAAAAGATAGAAAGATGAAAATAGTTTTTTAGGAAAGCTTTAAGAAATAGAAAGTCATTTGAGATCACAAGGTTATCTTTCATGGCAAACAGACAATAGTTAAAATTTCAGTCAAAGTACCTACTATAAGGCATAGACCACAGGACCTACAATAAAAATTTTTTATTTGATCTATCAGCACAGGTGAACATTTCCTGTATGTTGTTCCTCCGAAGTCGACTAGGACCATCAGGTCATCCAAAGATTAGGGGGAGGTTGGGTTATGGTGAGCTCGTAGGTGGCTTGCTAAACGGATCCGTGCTCGGAATAATCTTTGGCACCGCGGGCAGGGGATAGTTGCTTCAGACAGTGACCTAATGTTGCTCTTTCGGTCAAACCTGTGTGTCTCAGCTGTGGATATCCTATTAGCTTCATGGGATTTAGCACCATTCTTGACAGAAGCTGTCCACCTGGCTCTGTCCTGGGCTGTCTCCACCCATTGAGTAGTGTTTATGCTGAAGGCCTATAGTGCCACTTTCAGGGAGTCTTTGTAACGCATTTTTTGACCACCTTGGGAGCGCTTGCCTATTGTGAGTTCTCCAAAGAATATCTGTACGTATTGATTAGTAGACTACCTACCTAAAGTCTAAAGTTATCAAAAGACCTTCCCCAATAACGGCTATTGAGTTTAATGAATCACATTGCTTTTTAAAAGTTAGGCCTTATTGTAATGCTAAAAGTTGTTAGAAGTTTGAGCAGTAAATTATGAAGATTACTCAGCCCAACTTGGCTTAGATGAGAAAACGCCTAACTTTTAATAGTGAAAGATGCTAATACTTCAGAATTATTCAATTATTACAATTTACATCAAAATATTTGGATAAATTGTGTTTTAGAATGAACTTAGAAGGTGTTGGGTGGCCAAGCGGTCTAAACTTGAGTCAGTGCCAAGCTAGTGGACTGGAGCTTGATCCCCAGAAAATGCCTTGACAAACAAAACATACCCAGCACCTCAGGTGAGTGAGACTTGTAAATTGGCCGGTGGGGGGGGGGGGGGGGGGCGGGGAGTCGTGGTTAAAGCAATGTGATGTCACATTATAGTAAAATAATACCCTTAATACCAATAAATTACAGATAATTGTAACATTATTCTCTTATACAAAAATTATAATTATTTTATTTTCAATCACTGAGAGAGTCAGTCCAGTCCAGGTAAGAGAGGTCTGAGAAATAGCATCAAATCAAGTTACAGGACGCCATGGAGGATGAGAATCGGGTGTAGTGACTTTGACAGTCGTCCGAAGTTATGTCAAAATGTAGAGACAGGCATCATATAATTGGTGCTATCACGGGTATTGAGATGAAATTTAAAAAAAAATGATTGGCGGGGATGGTGCGTGTGTATGTTATAGTAAATGTTCTAGACCAGGGATACTTAGATTTTTCGCAGTGCTGCATCCCCTCTCAACTTCCAAAAATTTCCTGCAACACCCCTCCCCCCTTAGAAATAAAATATAAAATATGACCTGTAATAAAATTTTAAAATTAAAAATTAATTAAATAATTTATTTATTGTCGTTTTATTTGTTAAATTAACTGTCTAGATACAAGAAAAATATTAACAGTAATGCGCAAACAAAATTCATCAGAAAAAATAATTTACTGCTAGCACTAGCAGAAACAACTAGTAATGACAGCAAATGACATTTATTTTCTGAGTCTTCCAAACTTTCACCCTTGTTTAAGAACCACACATCTAGGGAAATTGTTAATGATTTGTTCGAGTTTTGTGCGTATGTGTTTGTATAGTAATGGAGCTGTTTATTTAATAAAGTGACATTTGTCAGTGAATCATTGGTTCGTAAAATAATTAAATTACCTCTAGACAACAAAGCTATTGAACTGGTTATATGGAGGTCGTAACAGAAATGTGGTAAATTTTGAGTTAACTGTATGGGTTTTGCCAAGAGTTTTATCACCCTAAGTGCAGTGATGTCAAATTGGGGAATCCTAACACTGGACTTAGGGTGAATAGATCTATTCTTTGAAGGACCCGAACGATGTGTTATAACATTCCTGTTCTTTATTGAGTATTAATCGCGTCATAAATGATACGGTTAATATGAAGTATATTAAAATGAAATTTTCCATTAATATGTATTAAAATTCAACTTACACGTTTCAAAAGAAATGAAAAAAGAAACACATCCTTGCTGATACCCCAAGACCTAACACCGGTGAAAAAAAATTACGCCCACCAAAATTGCTGTATTCGATTATTTGAAAATACCTGTATGTTGAAACTTAGGTAACAAAAGTAAGACTACTGCTTAAATTGCATTTGGAATGATCTTCTAGGAACTGGGGTGGGGAGACCCCTTGCTGTAAATACTCTGAGGAGGGGAGACCCCTCCCCAATTTAACAAAAAATTTAAAATAAGAAAACAATAACTTGCATTATGTAAATAAAAACATCGAAATCTTTTTAGTATGGCACTTTAGATGGAAATGGGGGAACCTCCGTGACCTATATACCGTGGAACACATCAATCGGCCTTACGGCTAGTCTAACTCAAAACCAGCCCAGAAATGTTTCTGACACAGGTGCAGTAATTCGATATCCATGGGAGGTGATGTAAGGGTTTGTAAAAGTAAAGGACCAATACAGTTCAGGGTTCCCACACCTTTTTTTAAAAACAAAATCCCTACTTTTTCCCAACTTAAAAATAAAATTCCTGACTATTGCAACGCAGCGTTTTTGTTGATAATATAAAAATCCATGCATTTGTCAAAGCAAAGCAACGTTGAAATACATCACAAATTAACAAAAAATTAAGCGATTGAGGTGTATACATGTAAATATTTATTAAATTTCCTTGCAATTGCAATTTTTCAATTTACTTGGACGTGAAAAATTGTCGATGTTTACTTTTACAGTGCAAAGGCAACTTTCGCAGTGTGTTCTCTGGGGCATTTTGGCACAAACGTATAGTGGAAAACATCTTTTCTTATATGGAGCTTTCCTTCTCTTCTTTGTCATAAAAGTGGACAGTTTGAGTTAATACACTTTAGTGTCTATAAAATCTCTCCAATGAAGGTTTTATTTTGACACATACATTGGGAGCTTGGCTGAAAAGTTGCAGAACAGGACACCTAACATAGGTGATAAAGCTGAAGTCTCATCAGATGATTGGCATTTTCTTCATATATTCGCCCTGAATACTTGGTATCAATATTTCCAGCATAGTGAAGCAGTGATGACTTGTTCATCAAATATCATGATAGCTGTCCTGACCATCAGTCTTTAAAATTTAAAGGAACTGTTGGAAATTATTTTACTGAGCCTTGATCCTGAATAGTGAAACAAAATAAAATATCATATTAATATTATGTTTATAATTTACAGTTCGGCATACACCATATAGACTAATTTTATACCCGTACTAAACTACAGTAATATTATAGAGTCAGAAGAGATACTAAGATGATATGCATATGAAACGACATAGTCAGGATTTTCCTCAGTGGAATGCATCATTGCCCCCCTCCCCACACCTTTTTGGGGGTAACCAAAGCACCCCCCGCCCCCACAAAAAACAATCCTTGCCTACACCACTGTGCTTATGAATAATAGTATAATACCGTAAAGTATACCCAGAGCACGGGAGTGCATAAAATAAGAACTAACTATATATTATATATACTATATAAAAGGATATAATATATATTATATACAGTTAAATTAGGCTCAATGAATCGATGTAGTATCAATTCAAGTCCAATCAACTAGTACTAACTAGTTTTAGTAACTTTTAAAGGAATTTCTGATGTCATAACATCACAAAATAACTTGATCATATTAGCTTTTTTAAAATTAGAAGGCCTACTCCGTAATTAAATGTAAAGTGAACTTAAAGTCTTTAAAAAATTTTAAAGTTAAAGGCTGCCTTGCGCTAATAAAAAAAAATACATGTCTCCCACATACAGTAAAACAATTAAAGTTAAAAATCAACTTATGAAGCTGAAGACTACGACATAACAAAGTACGCTAAGCTTAGTCATTGCAGACAGAGCTTGGATGAGTAGTTTTCTATTTATAATGGTTACCTCACAATTTAAAACTAAATTCAAATAATTATTCACTATATTTTACACTTTACTTACCCAAAAAATCGGACATCTCTTGATTGGTGATGTGAATGGAAAATAAATATGTCTGGTCTATCGAAGTTGTACGGTAATAGAAACTTAAAGAGTTCGAATACGCATGCCCAGTCAGGGGAAGCCACTAGCAAGGTCCGTTTGATAACAGAAAGGCTAAAAATAGACGAGGTCGGCGATTAACGTCAATTTTCATGGCCACATTTTTTACAAATTAAAAAATTCCAGATTTTCCGGAAAATTTCCTTACTAGAAGGCCCATTTTCCTGGTTTTCACGACCGGGAAAATTATTCGATAAATTCCCGACTTTTTCACGACTGTGTGGGGACCCTGACAGTTGTCGTAGTAGGCAGATGGATTTTTATGGGGTGGGTGCATATGTTTTGGTAATCTACCACTTGAGCGTCGGCCAAGAAAAAAATCCAGTTGTTCTGGTTGGAAGGGCTATTTAAACAACTATTCTTACAGTGGAGTCTGTTAATATTTTTGCTTCCGTATGGAGGCTATAAATTATAAAGTTATATAACACAATACTAATACATTTAGGGGGGTGACAATGGGAGGAGGGGGGTAAAAAAAATCCACCAAATTTGCTTGAAGTCATTGAATTGATGGATGGCCCCTCTAACAGACTAACAGTTCAGTAGTGTTCAAACCAGATAAACACGTTATATTTTTTCCTAAATAACGCGGAAGTGGTAGATTACCAATAAACCAACCAAACAAGTCAATCGAAATATCAATATCTTACTAATTATTATTAATTCTATACATTAAAATACTACAGCTTCACTATCACAATTCATTCAATGATTCAATGCCGCTGGCCGATTGACCGGACCATGCCCAGCCAACGAGTCAAGTGCCAGTTACGCCGATTATGTTTGGAATAAACTGTATTTCCTATAATTATAGCAATAGTTTTTCAAAATTAATAATTACATAAATTAGCCGGGGAAATATATACTTACGGTCACCTTCTTCATCAATTTCGAAATCATCTTCGTCTTCCTTCGTAACAAGTAGTACGTCCGCCATTTTAACACTGATTTCATATTCCGTATTTTTTCTTGTGCTCTAAGCGTATATATTACGTTTCAAATCCTTTATATAAAATCAAATTTATATTTTTTTAAAACACAGTCAAATCTATAAATTAAAAAACAATTATAAAATCAATATTTAAAATTACTTAAATATCGGATTTATTTTAAGACAAAAACATATTATAAATATTTTTTATTTTGATTTCTTTTGATTTTTTCATATATGCTTCATAAACAAATTAGAAAATCGGAAACTGAGCATTTAAAGAGAGCTCACTCTGTTGGCTGTTTCCACATGAACCAAACATTCTCATTGGTTAATACTTGATCTTGGTTAAATTTTGAAATTGAAAAGACTTGCCTTCGTCGAGTGGCAAATATATCTTTGAATCGAAAAAGGTTTACTGTTTACAATTTTACCAGAAAAATGAGTCTCTCTGGCAAAGGGAAGACAGAAACAAGGGAAAAGAATCAGAATATTCAAGTAGCTGTAAGATGTCGGTAAGATATTAATTAGAAATATTAGGCGAAATGTTAATAAGTGTATGTCACTGTTACTGTTTTTACTGTACATCCTGAATCATATAATATAATATATTATAGATAGTCTATAGGTCTATTACTATTGGCGTATTGGCAATCGGTAGTTTACTACCCATAGCTTCTAGTTAGGTCAGGGAGCTATTTGTAGTAAACTAGCAATTACTTCTAGGGAGCTATTGGTAGTCCAGCCATGAGTGAGGCTGGCGAAGTATTGCCCAGTTCATTTATTACTAGTTTACTAGTTTTTACTATTACTAGTGACAACATCTGGGCACTAATTATAAAATCTACAGTACTGTTTTAAAGTTTTAACATTATCTGAATCTGCTGTAGCCTTCCCCATGCTCAGATTTGGCTATATTTATATTGCTATATATAATTTATAATATAGATCTTAGATAGATGTATGAATGAGTATGTTGGTGGAAAGGGATAATTTAATTGTCTAAAAAAATGTTACCCAGTTTCTTCTTTGCCAAGGCCAAAGTAAGATGTGTAGTAAAAATAAAATCCACTGTTAACATTTTGTGTGTGCTAATTATTATGATTAAAATTATAAATTAAAATAAAATAAGTTTTAATGCATACCACCAATGTGTGCATATTAAAAACAAAATATTGTTACTTTAGTTAAATGAAACTATATAATTTATAATAATGTGATTATTGTGATTAGGCTTAACGATGATAAAATAAGCTTAGGCCAAATATTGTTTAGGAACATGGTCACATAAACCAACACCCCCTTGCTTTTAATTTTCTGTTGTTGGGAGTTGGGAGAAATATCTGTAGTCTGCTGAGTGTTTTTTTATTAATGGGCCCTCATTAACTTATAAAGGCATCAATATTTTTATATTTATGTACAACTCAACAATTTCATTGGGTGTATTGTGCAACTATAACACAAATAATCAATTTAATGTCTAGGAATCACTATTTACTATTCTGCAGATTATGCAGAATCAATGTTTTAAACTGCACATAGTTTTAGTTTTGAAGAAAACATAAGCAGTGATGCATAAAAAATTAAAATATATACAAAGAGAGAAAAAGTAAGTGTATTATGTCTTTGAAAATCCGATTGAAGTGAATTTATAAGACTAAACACAAACAATAAATTTAGTTGGCAAATGTTTTTTTAAAATTTTTTTGTGTGGCAACATACATAATTTAGAGTGTTTTCAGTGTTGTAATCAAAAATAAATTGTGACTACAAATAATTATTGCACTACATCAATATATCACCAGTTCGTAGTTTTTTTTTTATAGTAAACTACCAATAGACTACTGGTAGTGGAGTACCAATAGCTCTCTTAGAAGCTATTGGTAGTTTACTACAAATAGCTCCTTAGAAACTATTGGTGCTAAACTACCAATAGCCACAGCCCTTATATATGATATCAGAACATAAACCGAGCTAGCATGAGCTATGCTTTGTGCACCCGAAATTATAGCGAAGTAACCCTGAAAGCCAGGTGTTCTCAACCTTTCTGATGCCGCGACCCTTTATCTTAAATACAGTTCCTCATGTTGTGGCAACCCCCAACCACAAAATTATTTTGGTTGATACTTTATAACTGTTGAGTGTATGGGCATGGGTAAATGGTCACTGAAAATGCCACTATTTTATCAATGGCCGCCGTCTTGGTTGACACGTCACGTGAAGTCATCTACCCGTATGCCTAACCTGAACCCTAAATTGATCCCTATCCCTAACCCAGACCTGTTTACCCTCAAACTCTTAAAATCGTACAATATCATTACAAAATCGTTCAATACCTTAGATTTATAGTAAAAAATAAACATACAGTATATATAATGTTTACACCTCAAAATCGTACATTGTACGCCAAAATCGTAAGAGTAAACAGGTGTGCTAACCTGAACTCTAAGTCGATCCCTCTGTCTAACCTGAACCCTAAATCGATCCCTATGCCTAACCTGAACCCTAAATCAATCCCTAAAATAATTTAGTAAAAATAAACAAAGGGAAGTCACTCCCTGGAAAATAAGTCGTGGCATCTCGAATGATCATTAGCCAGTGTATGTGTTTTCTGATCTAAATCTAAGGCGACCCCTGTGAAAGGGTCGTGCGACCCACAGGTTGAGAACTGCTGCTGTAAGCGGTAATGATAAGCCTTATTTTTTTTTAGGTCTATTGGTTATGATGTTGAGCATTGCTTTTTAAAAGTTGTATTTAATGTATTTAAGTAATGAATGTGGGACTATCATCATCTTCCACATTATTTTCCCTGCCTATTCAAATGAAAATAATTTCTTGCTTTATATTATGATTTGCTGTGATGGTGACCGGTCTGGTGACATGTTAGTTTTAATACTGTCAATAGCAAATATTTTTACTTACCGTATATACTCGCATATAAGCCGAATTTAGAACTATAAAATACAATAATGATATCAGGGGGTCGGCTTATATACGCATGAAACAAAATGGACACTGATTTTGAAGGCTTCTAATTATTGGTAAGAACACTACAGTAAATTATAAACAGAAATGTGATAGTTTTTTATGAATAAATAAAACACAACAAAAGAATTTTCTTCTTTATTCATATCAAAATGTATAATTTTTTCTAAATATATACTTCGTTAATCATTAGTTGTGAACAACTTATGAGCGGAAGTTCACATATTATTATAGCAAACAATGTGGAAAGAGCAGAACACGTTTTTGTGTCATTCCAAAAGGTGAACAAACTGGTATGTAACATAAAAGTAAGCATTTTACATCTTTACAGTAACAAATTTCTATGAACCCAAAATATGGAGTAAAATTAGATAATTGTATGGTCATCTTATGTGTGGGGTTTTTGCAAAAACTCGCCATTTTAAAGCAGTTTTAGGGGGTCAGCTTATATACGATGTAGGCTTACATGCGAGTATATACGGTACCTAAATAAACCATTAGTCATGATTAGTGGCATTAGTAGGCAAATATATTTGTATTTTGTATTTTTATAATTATTCTTAGTCTTAATATATTTTATTATACTTTTTATATTATCCATTTCTTGTAGGACTGGTAGGCTTACATTACATGTAAAATGCACTAGCTTTTACTTAAAAAATGTGTGCGTAATAGGATAGAGTACATTTTTTAATAGATATATATATTAGTCTTAAATTTTATTGCATGTGTCTATGTTGATATTAACATTGACATTGCTATCTTTCAGGCCAATCAACAGCATTGAAAAGAAGCAAGCAAGTTGCTCCGTTCTGAATTGTGATCGTGTTAAGAAAGAAGTTACTGTCAAAGAACGTTCAGGGATCCATCCATTCACAAAAACATACACTTTTGACCATGTTTTTGCACCAGATTCAGAGCAGATTGATATTTATAAAGCTGTTGTCATGCCTGTTGTGGAGGAGGTTCTTGCTGGCTACAACTGCACTATTTTTGCGTATGATTTTTATTTGCCACTATATAAATTAGTAAATAAAATTTAATTCCTTTATTTTATTTTTAAAAATTGTTAAATTGAGATTATTAATTGCCTTAAATAAGAACAACACTTTTGCATGTAGTAGAGATTAAGTCAAACTGAAAACTCAAAAAGGTTTAAAAAAAAATTGTTTTTTCTTTTTTGAAATATATATCTTTTGGATTTACAATTGTTGGAACAAAAGCTTTAAAATATTTTTTTTTATAACTCCAGAATGTATTAACATTACAAAAATTCTGATCAGTTAAATTTACTTGTTCATGATTTTAAAATTGTATGAATTTCCAAAGGCTTGTGATACTGTGTGAGCATATACAACTATTTATATAGCTGTGAAAAATAATTTTTGTGTAATGTAATTCTTTCAGTTATGGCCAAACTGGAACAGGCAAAACCTTCACCATGGAGGGAGAAAGAAGTGAAGATTCAAGACTCACATGGGAAGAGGACCCTTTGTCTGGTATCATTCCAAGAGCCCTGCATCAAGTATTTGAGGATCTTCAGAAACAAGTATTTTACATTTGCATATGTGTTATAGCTTCAAGACATATAAAACTAGTCCATCATTGTATATTTCTAAACTAATACCAGTTTGTGTTATGAAGCAAGTTTAATTTGACAAACTGATTAATCTAATCTAATTTTTTGTTAAAATTCTGTTTAGTCTGATGTTGAGTTTTCTGTCAGAGTGTCATTTCTTGAACTCTACAATGAAGAACTTTTTGACCTTCTTGGCTCATCCACTGATCCACTCAGGCTTCGCATATATGAGGATAATACAAAGAAGGTATAAGTTCAAACTTTTTTATTTAAACAAAAAATCTGTTTATGTGTTAATCTTTAGTGAAAGGGAATACACAAATTTAGGGGACGGAGGGGGCTCCATCATCTGTCTAAACACTGCGCTTTTTGATGTTAATGAAGCATGATCAAGTGCTGCATATCCACACATTCCTATTTTCCATATGAATAGAACATCTCTACAAAGCTCTAGTCCTTCTGGTGCTTTCTTATCAGACAGACCTTGCATTGTGTTGCTGGCATAAGTTATGAGTGTCCAATATTGCACCCTTGTGTATACAATGAAACCTGTGAAAAACCAAACCCTTAGAACCGATGGAAAAGTGGTGCTATTTGCAGATTCAGTCAGAATGATGATAATGCACAATAATTTGAAAGAACAGGATTTATGCATATTGAAAATAAGAACTGATAATACAAACAGAAAGTGCATAAAGTGTATTTACATGTGTATAAAAACTACAGAAAAATTATGTAACTCAGAAAGATTTTTATTGTGCTTCAACATCTGTTATGCAGTCATGTACATGCAGCCTAGAATTTTTAATGAATCTTATAAACATCCAAACAAAGTATATGTAGGCATTGTAAGACTAAATGTGAATTGTCGCCATTTCGCTATGCATTGGAGAGATGTACACACTATACCCACTGTTCACTGTTCGTTCACAAACTTCAGGCTCATAGAAAGTTTTCTGAAAACACACTTATTTCATCATGATTTAAGAAACACACTATATGGTAGCAGACTGAATAAGGAAACAAAAGGTCTGTGTCACTTCCTGCTCATGGTGTAATTTTGATGCTGATGCAGCATATTAAGTGCTATTCACAAAGAAAATCAAGATTTTTTTTCCCCACAGATTTTGTTTTATAGACCTTTTCCGTTTCAAGGTTTTTGTTAAGAAATCAATTTATGTCTTGGATTAAGTTGGCTCTTATGCCACAGACGCTATTTCAAGGTTGACTTGTTCCAGGTTTCACTGTATGACAATCTCTGACATTACACTCAAAGGGTAGTAAATAAGCAACCTTAACCAGCAAAGGGAAGAGACTGAAAACATCAAATCATTCACAGAATGTGCATCATAACTAGCCACATCCAGCTAAAATGGCTATACACTGTGTGTCAACATAAGGGAAAGTATATTTAAGGTAAGCCTCAAAAGTCTTTGAGGGAGAGATTTTGAATGAAACATTTGGAAATAACCTTGATGTTCCCCAATGTGCTTCAAAGTTCAAGAAGGATCATTTTTAAAAAATAGGTATTGTCAGTACCTCAAGATTGGACATACAGTACCTTTATTATTACTCCTTGTAATGTGCATTATTTGAAACTCTAGGTTTTAGAAATAATAGCAGATATTGTTTTATTACTTCTTAAATTTATATTATTTTCTTATCATTACAGGGTTCCGTTATTATTTCTGGGCTTGAAGAAGTTGTTGTAAGGTCTAAAGATGAAGTATTTGAAATACTACAGCGTGGCACTTCAAAGAGACAAACAGCAGCTACCTTAATGAATGCTGTGTCTAGGTAATTTATACTTAACTGGCATATTTGAAGTAGAATTTTAGTGATAATTATTTATTTTTTCAGGAAAGGGCGATGGGATATATCTAATGTCTACCCAACATGGTGTTCCCAAGTATTTGTCCATTAACACTAACCTTGCTCATCATTGCAAGACTGTGGATCAAGAAAGAACAAGAATTTTACTTTTATAAAGTTGTAATTTACAAAATCTATATTACAGCTGCATATACCAGATTTAGCTGCAGCTTATTTACTCAATGGAGAAAAAAAATGCGTTTTAAGAAATTGAGGTTCCTCAATTTTAAAGTTTTTTTTTTTTTTTTTAAAACTTTCAGTCGCTCCCATTCTGTCTTTTCTGTCACAATTCACATAAAAAAGAACACCATGGATGGAGAAGAACTTTTGAAGACTGGCAAACTTTATCTGGTAAGTGAAGATCTTTTCCCATGATTGAGAAAAAAAATGCGTTTTAAGAAATTGAGGTTCCTCAATTTTAAAGTTTTTTTTTTTTTTTTTAAAACTTTCAGTCGCTCCCATTCTGTCTTTTCTGTCACAATTCACATAAAAGAGAACACCATGGATGGAGAAGAACTTTTGAAGACTGGCAAACTTTATCTGGTAAGTGAAGATCTTTTCCCATGATTACATTGTTCTATTAAATAGTTTGACATCTTCTAGCTTTCCACTGATGTAATGTTACGATAAAAGTAATTCCTAGGGTGAAACTGGTCCTATTATTTATCAGAAAGGCAAATTTTAATTTATAATTTGATATCACTTAGTTTTTCACTGCATGTTGTCTTTACCTTAAATGTGCTGTTTCATGAATTTTCAGGTTGACCTTGCTGGGTCTGAGAACATTGGAAGGTCTGGTGCTGTTGATAAAAGAGCTCGTGAAGCAGGTTGGGTTTTTTAGCAAAATGGTTTAAGAAGCTTTTATTGTTCAAAGTTTTTCTTTTACTTTTAGTATCTTAATGAATTTTTCTCTATAGTTTGAGGAAACTTTTGCTGCACAAAAATAATTATGAAAAATTAATTAAATTAAACAAATTTGTTATACTTCTTATTGTCGAGATTCAAGCATTTTTCCAATTCTATTTGAAGGAAATATCAATCAGTCGTTGCTTACACTAGGCCGTGTCATAACAGCTTTAGTTGAACATGCACCTCATGTGCCATACAGGTAAAACTAAAAATTATTAACCTGTTTCATTTATGCTTGGGCTTTGTTTAAGCTTAAGTGAGTACACACAAATAGTTCACTTCCTAAATATTTGACTCTTGCAGAGATTCAATGGTGGATGTTATTTTTTTTTAGAGATTAAGCAAAATTATAACAAATTGTTGCCATGTGAAAAATTAAATTACATGGCAATTGAGACTACTATTTATTTCTTTTTGGGGAATATATCAGTGCTGAAATGATAAACCTAATGAGTTAACATTTTCTCCTTAGAGAGAGTAAACTCACGCGGTTGCTGCAAGACTCGCTTGGAGGCCGCACTAAAACATCCATCATAGCCACAGTCTCGCCAGCATCTGTTAATCTTGAGGTCAGTATTGTTCACACTTCCCTTGGTGCATTACATACATTTAACTTTCATTTTCCACATTTTGTGAATTTCTTCCTGAATGAATGCAGTTAAACCTCCATTTTACGACCTATAAAATTGCCATTAAAACGAGGTCATAAATTGGATGGGGTCTTAAAAGAGAGTTAGGACATTTTCGAAAAACCAAATTTAGAAAATTAAGTCAACAAGTAAAAAGAAAAATACACGTACCATTAAGTATAGGCAATATCTACCATCTTTCGTTCATAAATATAGATAACACTCTTTCTCACAACCAATACAGTCACTATCTTCCTGTTCTTCATTAATTCAAAAATAGAAATCAATGCTTGTATGGTAGTCGTGTGTAAGTGCTGAGTACATGCTTAGAGTTATAACTATTTATGTATAAGATAAGCGCATTAATATTGTTATAATTATTTTTCTTCAATCATTGAATAGTTTTTTTTGTTGAAAGAGAGCTGTTATTTCCGTTTATTTGCAAACCTGTGCTTGTTATTTTAGTATGTCACTTTGAACACCAGACATGGTGTCGGCAAGGTCTGAAAGGCCCCTGCTCAGGGCAAATCTGGTCAGCTCCTTGGAGTATTTCAAGGCAGTGGAGAATTTGATAGGTCCATGTCTTATTTCCCAGCTGCTTAGGTCATCGTCTGCCGTTAAAATTGTAAACGAAACTGTTTTCTTCAAGGGCACAAATATAGCATTGCTTTGGAATCTGACTTTTTCAGGTGCTAGGTCATAAAATTTAATTGTAAGCTGTGACAAGTAAGTAAGGCAAGATGCCTACAAAAAAAATGTATGTATTTTCTCTATTTTACAGGAAACTCTCAGTACTCTTGATTATGCTTTTAGAGCCAAGAACATCACCAACAGACCTGAGATCAACCAGAAGCTTACCAAGAAGGCTTTGCTACGGGTGATTATTCTTTTCAGCGCTTAGAAAAAAATTATTCTTTTCAATGCATTTTAAAAAAAAAAATATTACCTAGAAACTTTAATGATGTCACCTTTTTAAAATTGCTTGAAAATATTTTTGTAACAAGATTTTTTAAATTTTAGGAATACAATGAGGAAATTGAACGTTTGCGGAGGGATCTCCAAGCTTGCAGAGAAAAAAATGGTATCTATGTTGCAGAAGAAAATTACATGTAGGTTTTTACTTTTATTAGGCTTGCTTTTCATTTTGAAGTAGCTGTTTTTCATATCTGATGTAGATGGGATCCATAATAGTTGCATGAACATCAACCTTTTAACCCACGTACTGTCGTCAGCCGAATTCATTGGCTGATTTTCTCTTCCCATACTGTGGCGATAAAAATTGCGTTGAAGGAACAAGTTTCAGTCCAATATTTTACACTAAATAAAACTAATTTCTTTTATTAATAAATGAACTTCAGTTTTTTGTTGGCTCTTCTGTGTCCTTTCTTTAAAATTTGGAGTTATTTTTACAACGATCTTTATCAAGCAAATTTGTATAAGTAGATTTTCGCAAAATGGATGAGGCCATAGCTGGACCATCTGGCTTACAAAATAAATCAGTTAGGAATCTTTTTGATAACTTTTTAGTTAATGACTCAAGTGATTCGGAAGATGATTTTCCAATCACACACGAGGACAATGATAATTCAGATTATTTTTCTAGTGGGTCAGAAAGCAAAAGTTCTGATTCGGACGATTTAGACCTAGAACGAGTAGGCATTGCCCCAGCAAAAGGACTCGTTCAAAACTATGTTGCAGATGATTGTGTACCAACAAATAATAATGGATTTTGTTAACATATATGTTTTCTTATATTTCATTTTATGGATTAAATATTTACACAGGAGCTGAATGTACTCAATTAGAAGTTAATAGACTTTTCAGTGTTGCCTATGATAATGTTGCCTATGATAATGTTAGGACAGCTTTTTAAATTTTATGTTTCTTGCTATTTAGTAATGTTTATATTGTTTATGTCGTGCTTTGTTACTTGAACGTAAGTTATAGGTATCAGAGGAATTTTTTTTTTTTAAATCTATTAATAACTAAAACATATATAAATAGTACATTTTCTGAAAGATAAACATGATATCATATTATATAAGCATAATAATATGCCTTTAAAAAATTGTAGTTTGAGGTACTTGAAAAGAAAAATTTTCATTATTTACTTTATTCTTGGCCTCTCCAAGGTCACCGGTCACTGAGTACAAAATATCATTTAAAAAGTAGCCAATATGATTATCCACTCAGTCTAATTCCAAAGGCACCCAAAAAGCTCTAAATTGCCTGCACAGTACAGAATACCGGTTATACAATAGATAGTTCGTGGGTTAAAATATGTTTAGTGTTATAACATGAATAATGTATACGAATTTTAAGTACATGTTCAGATGAATATTTGGAGAATTTAATTTTTTTTATTTTACCAAACATAGATTGGAATGAGAGCATTGACAATCTGTTGTATATTTCAATAGAATTTATTATTTTGCTGTTCACTTTATTTTATTTTTAGAGCTATGCAGAATAAAATAACTCAGCAGGAAGATGTCATTCAGGATTTGGAAGAGAATATTGAATGCATTAGGTTGGAGATGAAAAATGTAAGTATATTTATTCCAATCTCTCTTGGAATTGCAACAAATGATATATTTTGTGCCAAATACTTCGTTCACTCACTTTGTGTTGGTTCTGACACAATTTGCCACACGAAAACATAGTGGCATTTTTTCATCTCAAGAGCGCAAAACATTTAAAACAAACAGTGCAGAAAGATGTAACAAATCAACAGAAAAAAAACTACCAAACCTTAGATGAAATTTATTGTTCTGAATCAAACTTATGGCTCAATATTTGTTTTCTGCATTTCTTCTTTTACTTTAAAAATATCTTATATATGATAATCTGTAGAACTAAATTAACCTTGTTAGAAAAAATAAAAATATTACTGCATTCTAATTACAAATATACTAATATTAGCTTTCAGAGTTGTTTACAGACACCAAGGAGGAATTAAAAGTAACTTCTGAAAACTTGGCTGTAACCTCTCAGAATCTTGAGGCCACAACGGAGATATTAAAAGAGACAAGTGAAGAACTCTTGGTAACAAAGAAGATCAGAGATGAAAAAGAGTTTCTTTTAAGTGAACATGCCAAGAATGAAGAGGTTTTATATTCTGAGGCTCAGGAAGTAAGTATACAGCAAGTCCTGTACAGGCATCATCATAAGATTAATTAATTACTGATGATTTCATTTGATTTTGAAGTTCTTTTCCTATATGGTTGACAAAAATTTCTATATTATCCCTTTTAGTGAATATTACCTGAATTCTAACATTTATTTTAGATCTGTTGTTTGAATTTTTTTACCTTTTAGTTTTAGAGAAAATAATGGTGTTGTTTTTTTCCAGTCAAATTAGGCGTTGAGATGGCTTATTTTGTTAATAAATATTGTTAATATATCAAAATGTTGGTATGTCAATTGCTTAATAATGTTATGAGTTTTTCAATTCTTTTTCTTTTGCTTTGTTATATAGCTGCTTTCCACCGCTCAAGCATCCATCTCTGATGTCAAAGGACTTCACGATAAGATCGATAGAAAGAAAGCTGTGGAAAAGCATAACGAGGAGGAAGTTTCTAACTTCAGCGAGGACCTACTAAATATTCTTAGCGATGTACAAAAAATGATAAGAAATGTGCACCATGAGACTAAAGAACTAAATACACAGGCTTGTTTGCAAATTGGTGAGATTTATTTTTAAATGTCAGCAGAGAAATTCCCATTTTAAAGTGTATCGTTACATTTATGCTTTCATGATGATATGCTATTTTCATTTTTACATTGAATGTTATCTAACATATGACATGTTTTAATAAATTGGCTGAAAAATATTATTCCCCCCATGTCATAAATTAATAATTTTGTTACCTTGTAGATGAAATTGCATCACAGCACAAAAGGGAAATTCTTGCTACCAGGCAAAATGTTGAAAGCTATGTTGATGCCATGCACAAGGACTTAAAAGAAACATTGCACCACCATGCTTCTTTTCATCAAAAAGGCTTGGAATGGGGAGAGACAACACACAAGACGTATACACAATTACAGGTTAATTTATTTGATGCCTAACTTTTATTTTTAAGTTTCATAATTATATGCCTTTGAAAAACATTAAATTCACTTCTTTTTTGCTTTAAGACATTCATGGTGTATGTCAAGATCATGCTAAGTTTGATCCCCTGTTGTACATATGTTGTTTACTGGGTTTTGAATGGAAAACTAGTTTCAAAAGCTTAAGTAATTACAGACATATGTTACATGTTTATGTAAAAAGAGCAGTAATTCATATTTTTCTATTTCACTATTCTTTTGTGCAGTGTGAAGCCAAAATGTCTTGTCATAAAATTCAAGCAGAAATTACAGAGCAGTTGAAAAAAGTACAAAAAGATTACCTAGATCAGACTAATCTACTGAAAGAGACTACAGCTGTTCTCTGGGATCAGGTGACATTTTTTTTCTATGAAAAATGCAAAGTTTTAAAAAATGTTTGTAGTGTATACTATTTTTAATATTTTGGTGAGCAATTCAGTTATCTTGAAATATATATATATATATTCTTGTTAAAAGCTTACTAAACCTAATAATTTTCTCTACAGAAAGAACAAATGTTTTTAAGTTTGACAAAGTGTCATTCTGAGATAATTTCCTACCTGGCAAAAATGGTGTCATCTTGCTGTCAGCATATTGATGAACTTAACAAACAAAATGTTGCGATGAAAGACTATTTAGAGACAGTTTCAACAAGAGAATCGGTCTTGGAAGATGTAAGCGTTTTAAAATATGTTTAAAGAAATAATCTCAGTTTTCAAAGCTATCTTACTTTCATCATTTTTTTTAATGACCAGTTGTCCTCAGAATTGCTCTATTCACCCCTTTTTTTAACATTCGTCATATATCAATATTCTAGTTAAGAAAATTAATATTCTCATTATTTTAAAATATTTTAATAGGTGTATTTGAGACTAATCTTTATTTTATTTAACAATTAAAGACAAACTGTCATTGTTAGTACTTTTCTGCCAGACTGCTGCTGATGGTTTGTGTGTGTTTTGCAAATTTAATTGTATTGTCCTATTAATGGACATGATTTTTATTTATCTCTTTTATCAGCAACTTAAGGAACTGTTATCCACAAGGAGGAAGGAGTATAATCAAATGATGGAGAAGGTAAACACAAATGCTGTCATTAAATCTAATTAGTGAGTGTTAACAAAAATATACTTTTGTCTTTTTTAATGTATGTTGACAATTTTTCTTTTGAATTTACAGGCAAAGACTCACCTAGATACACACCACAAGTCTAATGCTACATTTACAATTGAGCTAAAAAGGTGTGTGTATTTAACTGTTATCTAAATTGAATTACTTTGAGCTTTTCATTTTTTTTATATATATATATTTTTTTTTTTTAATGTGATAATAGTGTGTATGTTAATGACATTTTCAGCTAATTTCTTTTTCATTTATAGACAGGAAAAAGAGATGTCTGGACTTATGGAAACAAACATTCAGTCAATAAAAAATCAAGTTCAGACTTACGTAGAAAAAAATGCCAATGTTGTAGAACTGGTATGTTTCAAATCTTTATTATTTTAATTTTGTTCAATTATTTTTAATGTATTATATATTTGATTATCACTTTTTCATATCTATTTATGGAGTATATTTTTAATGTTGAACCTCTCGACTAGTTTCATGAATTACAAGGCTAAAATGTTGTCTGGACATCTTTTTGAATATATATAATTTTTTAAAGTAAAGTATTCTTCACAAGATGAAGTTTACCTTTTATAACTTTAAGGTTGCTCAAACTCTGGTTCTTAGAGATGAAGTCTTCCCTTCAACCATAAACAAGACAGAAGCTGCCATTGAACAAAATGATAAGGTTGGTATATTTGAATCAACCTATCAAAAGGAATCTTAATCTTGAACCATAAAGCTACTAATTTAATTAGATTATAAAATCTTATTTACATTTAAATGAAATTTTTTAGAAAATAAACTGCGTCCTCTTTTATCAATTGAGTGTTATTATATATAAATTGTGAAGCAATTTTTGCTAAAAGGTATTAGTTGATTGTGACTAAGATTTTTTAAAATTTAATGGAGATGCTCAATTCAATTCTCCTTCCCTAGACACTTAAAAGAACAGATTTATTTGTACATTTTCAGTTTTGGGATGTTGGCTCAGATTCATTGCAACAAAGCATCATTGATTTGAAAAAGTTTTCAGAAGAGTTTAAGGATAGCCAAGAACAGAAACTAGAGGTTTGTATCTGTTGCGAAATAGTGAGATATTGTGGAAGAGACAGGTCTATCCACCCACTGAAAAAATTTGTTGCTGTTTCCCAACCTGGGAGTGCAAGGGGCATTTGAAAGGTATAAGAAATTTAGTAAAGAGCAGATGAGCCATTTACTTATTTACAAGTAATGATGTGCATTAAGAAAAATATTACACATTTCTGTGAATGGCTAATTGGCCTGGTTGTTGCTTGGATTATGACTATTATAATTGGAATAGAAGGGACTGATTCTAGTATTACATACAATATCTCAGTTCTATTATCCTTGTAGAACTGTTTAGACCAGGTGTCCTCAAACTATGGCCCGTGTGCCACTACATATATGTGCAGTGTGCTTAGGAATTCATTTATAAAATTTTGAAACAATAGTCCGGCCCAAAACAATATTTGAGTGACAATGAACCATCACCGAAGTGTCTTAAGGAACAGTGAACCCGTCCTCTGATAAAAATTTTTAGGACCCCTGATTTAGACTTGTGAAGTCTCTACAGCTTTAATTAATTATTGATACTAAAACTCCACAGTATATCCATTATGCTAATACTAATAGATCATGCATTTCTCTCATTTAAATATAAATTGTAATACTGATGCACCTAAAGGATTACAGAACCTGTGATGGCAATTTTAGTTTTAACTATAGGGATGAAATCTAAGAGTGATTTTTTTGTTTGTTGTGTTAACAGAATATGACAGCTCATTGCAACCAGCATATTTCAACAATGAAAGCAAGTATTGAAGAAAACAATACAGCTTTCAATGCAAAGTCTTCTCATGCATCAAGTTTACTTAACTCAGTGTTCAGTACCCTAGACCAAGGCTTAGAAAAGCCAGAAAAAGAGCTTGAAAACTCAAAAGATTTGGTGGATGAATTCTTTACAAAACGTTTGAAAAAAGACATGCCAACAGGTAATTTATCGCATAATAACTGCTAAACATCAAGTAGACCTTAATTTTTTTTTCATTATTAGACATTTCAACATTGTAATAAACTCTTCTCCTGTATTCTATTTAAATATCATATTTACAGATGCATTTATTCTACATAACAATTCATTACAGGTTTTTACTTTTGATAATTAAAAACATCTTTTCATGCATAAAAGTTCCAGCTCTTTCTGAGTACATTTTTTGACAGTTGTTTTATAAAACTATTTCAAATAAACAAGTTAATAATATGATTCCATCCTATAAATTACAACAATTTTGCATAATTATAAATTAATGATAAAGGAAAGAGAAAATATGAATTTGCAGGTTTTACACCTCAGCGATGTGAATTTCGATACCCACAAAAACTAACTAAAACAAATGACCATGAAGCTTTGCTAGAGGAATTTAGAGCCCAAAAGACATCTCTGGATCCTTTGGTTGTGAACCTTGATGCGAAAATGGAGACTGCTGATGACCAAGTGGAAGTTGAGATTGTACCTGAAGTAAGTTTTATTTTCTAAATATCTCATCCTAGGTCATAAATAATTTTAAAGATTATCTAATAAAATTGCTTTATACACTGAAAATCATTATGTACTTTTTTTTTTTAGGAGCTGCGGCGCAGTGAGAGCAATCTTAGTACTGCAGGTAGTGAGAAATCTTCATATTCTGCAATCAGCACTTCTGGTGTCTCTAATGCTAGTGCTAAAAGCAAAGTAAGTGTCATTTTAATATATAAATCATGTTGGGTTAAAATTCTATGATAGTGTTGGTGGGATATTTTAACTTACCTTGAGCTGAATATCTGTTGTTTTTAAAAATATTAATAGGAACAACTTTTGTTCTTTTCTTAAAGATTCATACATTGTTACCCTGTGACCTTGATTGGCTTATTCTAAACTTTTGCAATGTTATAGTATGTGATTCTTAACATTTCAATTCACCTGTCATGTTTGGGAATTTAAAAATGTTTCAAACACTTCTGTCATTTTGATTGAAAATCCCATCTTCAAATAAGATTAAATTAAGAATTGCTTGACTGTTTCTGTTCTTATGTGGTGGTGGGGAGGGTGTGTGTGTGGTATGAACATGTCATCACGTTAAAAAAACTATACGCAAAAGAATACACAGCTTTATAACGCTCTCTAAGCCTTCTGTTTTCTTATGAATTGTACCTATTTTAGAATGAAACGCTAACAATCAATATAACATAGTGTTATTTTCTAAATTCCCCAACACATTTAAAACATTGACCTGATCTGCTTAGTTGTCTTTGTGTGAATAAGTTTGTTCTATTTTTTAAGATGTCTGATGCTGAGGCCTGTAAAGAAAATAAACCAAGAGCTATGAGACCCCCACAGACAACTAACTCTAAGAAGATGCCCAAAGCTTTTGCCAAAACCCCAACAAAGACTAAAACACCAAGCAAGTCTGCTTTGCAGTCTAACCAAAACCAGCAGATTCCTAATGTAGGCAATCCCAGGACCAGGTTGCCTTTAAAGTCTAACAATCCATCATCTTGATTTCGCAATCATTTTTTAAATTAATTTTTTTTTCATGACTTACGTACTGCTTAATTATTTTTTATCACGTTTTTTTCTAAGGCATGAGAATTAAAAAAATATGTATTTCTAATTTATACTGTTACAGTAAATAAAATAAATTTGAATTTCTGCACCATAGTATTTTAAAGAGAAAGTTTCAAACATGTGTCTATTATATTTATAAGGTAATAATTTAATACTCAATATCACATTTGACAAAATTAGTGGTAAAGGCAATGTGTCTTCATTATTTTAACACACATTTTCAACACATATTATTTTAATTAAGTTACAAACTTTCTTACTCCCCCGATGTAAATTAAATATTGTACATAGTTTGTTGATATTATTTTTATGTCAAAAATGTGGGTAAATTAATTCCCAAATTTCCTAGTGTCTGGAATCCTGAGATACCCCCAATACTAAGTTTGTTATAAAAGTGCTTCTCTTTGCCAAAATGTTTTGAATGTTGTTTTTCTGTTCTCACTCATTAATCATTACTGCTAATTACTTAATAATGTTTTTAGAAAATCAATTATCTTGACATTAATCAAAGAAAAAAGCTATTGAAACATGATATGGAAAAATGTTGATTTTTTTTGTTGTTGAAGCATTTTACTTTTCTATAGTTCAGTATCATTTGTTAAATATTTAATTTTTTTAATCCGTGCAATTCATGTTACTTACAGTTTTAGCACAAGTCAATTCTTAGAACTAGCACCATTTCTTAAACTAGCACATTATTGGAACCTTTTTTTAACCTGTTGCAAGGTTCAAAGTGCATTATAATTCATACAGGATGACATGAAAATACAATTATGGGTTTTTGTGTGTCTTTTTAAACTATGTTTAAAAAGTGCATAACCTCATTCTATACCTAATGGGAGCTACAAATACTTCAGAAAATATTTACATTTAACCTACTTTGCGTTTTTCAAGATTTTTTTCAATGCTTCCGTAACTGTACAGCAAACAATATTCACAAATATCCTTTGGAATAAAATGTTGGTTTTATGTTTCTTACTTTAAATAAAGGTGTTTGCATTAACTGTTTCATCTGTCTCTTTCCATAAGATTTATTTCATTAGAAAAGAAGCTTGAGAACTTATTTTGTTTTTTCTTGTTGATTCAATAATTATATTATTATTTGCAACATCCTGAAAATTGCTGCACCCTGTTAATATGGAGGAAAAAAAAGAATAAGACAGCAAATACATCACTGGATATTTTATTTATTGATACATTTTTGATCAGGCTTAACAATGCAATTATAATTTAATATTGTAATATTAGTAAAGCAGATAAATCAAAATTTACAAAGGGGTTTCACCACCACCAAGACTTGAAACATGATTTCCATTGTTTACTGTTCAAAGGTTCACTGAGCCAAATGTGCAATTATTACATTGAAACTAAAGAGCAACAAAAGGTTTCTAAGTTTCACTATATTGATACATACTAATAAGTATTACAAATGAGGGGTTTACAAAGTTTAAGCTCTTCTGAAATGGGATGAACTCCTTTTTATCCAGAAAGTGTTTTTGCTGTCTTAAACAGCATTGGGGGGGGGGGGGGGTGGGGAAAAAAAGGGGGGGGGGGGGGGGGGGGCTGGGCAAAATAATGGCAGTAACGCACTGTGGCCCCCCTCCCTGCTATTTTGTACCTAACAAAAAGGACTTAACAAAAAACACCATTGCACATAAACAGAAAAGAAACAAAACATAAGTATAATAATTACCTTTTTGCATTTATTTACATTTCTGAGAATAAAAAATACTCACAAAAAAAGAGCAGGTACTGTTTTGTAGAAAAGTCCAATGGATTTTTTTTTGCTGTTAAAACTGCTCATTAAAAAAAATAGTGTAATAAATAGAAATGACATGTACAGAAGAACTGGGAAATTTTACATTTAAAAAGCATATTTTTATTAATATGTGATTTTTCTGAGGGAATTTTAAGCACTATACTCTATACATTTAAAAAAAATTAGTAAATTTAAAAGTTTATTTATAATTTATAAATATTATATATTTCAAAAAATGACTAATTAATTAACAGCTATTTAAAAACTTATTTAATTTAACATTTCACCCCTCTCCCCCCTTTTTTTTTATGGCCCCCCTCCAAATACCAAAACTTCTGTTTTTTTAAAATATATTGATGAATTTGGTAGGGGGGGGGGTATCCATAAATGACGTCTCGCAAATTATGCAGATTTTGTATTCCCCATCGTCACACATAGCCATTTATCCACTACTGTCCTTTACAAACCCTTAATAATTTCACCTCCCATGGATATCAAATTACTTCAACTGTGTCAAAAACATTTCACTATAACATTGGTAAAAGTACCTGAATTTTTTTTACGCATTACAATATAATTTATACGATTCGGGGTGGGGGGGGGGTGGGTGTTTAAAACGGATTGGGCCTACAGCGCTGCAAAAAGAGTCCTTGCCCCACAGCGGCGGTTCTCAACTTGTGGGTCGTAACCTCTTTGGGAGTCGCACGACTCTTCTCAGTGGTCGCCTAAGACTTTCTGAAAACACATATGCTCTACAGTTATGAAGTGGGAACGTAAATAATTCTGGGGTCGCCACAACAAGGGTAACTGTATTAAAGGGTCGCGGCATTGGGAAGGTATAGAACCACTGCCTTAGAGTCTAGAGCGCATGTGTCAAACTCAAGGCCCGTGGGCCACACCCGGTCCGCCCTACAATTCTATCAGGCCCGCAAGGTCTTGACCGGCGTACAATTATATCCAAATCAACGCTGTGGTGTTTCCAAATGCACACTTTGCTGAAAAATGTACCTAACTTCGCGCTGAGTTCGCACGGCGCTTTAGTGACTTTGAAGCACAGAAATGTAATTTAGAGCTGTTTCGTAACCCATTTGTAATAGACGTGGAAATCGCACCTTTGAATTTGAGCTGCAGTGTAATGGCCTTAATGGGACACTCAAGTCAAAGTACGACACACTTGGGCCTGCACAGTTCACTCGTTTCATTCCTAAAGAGATGCCCCAGTTTCATCTACATGCGGCGCGAACCTTGAGCATGTTGAGTAGCGCATACATGTGTGAGCAACTGTTTTCTGTGATGAAGATTAACAAAACATCACACAGGAATCGTCTTGCTGGTCAACCCTTGCAGTCTTTCATGCGAATCTCAATGATACAGAACGTTACTCCTAACATAAATGAACTTATTTTTGTAGCCAAGAAAATGTGTATGCCAATGATTTTTAATTATTAAAACTTTTTTCTTTTTTCATTTATATAAATGTTAGGTTATTTTTGGGTTTTTTTTTGTGGAAAAATTTTAATTTTCCACTTATTGAATGTTTATTGTGTTCGGCCCGCAACCTTACGCCTTAATGTGATTTGAGTTTTGGCCCGCTAAGCGATTGAGTTTGACTACCCTGGTCTAGAGCATTTACTAAGATCCACCCTACCCCCTTTTTTCCCCCTCCGTCGTGTCCTGTACTGTAACTTGATAGAGACCAATTCTCGGACCTCGCTCGTATACCTGTACTGAATCTCTTAGTGATCGTAATCGTAGTTTAAAAATGAAATAATTATAATTATTGTAAAAAAAAATAATGTTAAAAATGTCTGTAATTAAGCGTAACTAGTACCGGTACCGAAAATTGTATTTATTTGACAATTGAAAAACTGGTTCACAAAAAGTTGAGAACCCTGCTTCTACTTCTACAAGATAAGCATTGATTTAAAATTTAAATTTATCCTTTTCTGTCTCCGCGTTTAATAAACCCCCAGTTTTGTCAGACGAAAATTTTGTTCTTAAGAATTGTTTTTAAAAAGTTAATTATTTACGATTTGCTTTATGTATAGAAAATGTTGAAGAACGCAGTCAAGTGTAAATTTACATTATTAAAAACAGGTCATGCGTGAAAGGGTGAAAAAGTAAATTCTGGGTTTATTCCACGTTTATAACGTGGCAGTTCGCCCCTTTCCCCATTAGAAATTGGGTTATGTGGGATAAATATTAACACGTTATAAAAGAATCATGCATCCAGACTCCAGAGTATCTTCCCTTGATCGTAAACAAGACCTTTGAACTCCAACCAAAGCCAAAGCCACTGCTGCTCATAAACTTCTCAAATGTGATTTATTATCAAGATAATAGATAATGTATATAAGCTTTTTAGTTTTAGAGACACTTTAAGTAGACACTGATTTACGCAGATTCAGATTTTCTAATCGAATAAGCTTTTTAGTTTTAGAGACACTTTAAGTAGACACTGATTTACGCAGATTCAGATTTTCTAATCGAATTTACTGAGTTAGATACTCTTAACTTTATTACTATTGATTGCATTCTCAGTTCTTCTGCCTGCCACTCCTACTAACTTTAAGTGGTGACAATAACACAATTTGTACTGTTTTTACCATTACCAGTACTAGTCTTACTAGTAGTACAGTACTATAGTAGGTCTATTGGCTTTTTTGGACATCAATCTTGGCTAGTCATAAGTTTGTAACCAGTACATTTTAAGACTACAAAAGCAAAATTAATTTATCAACAGAGTTTATCTGATATGCAGGCGTTAAATACAGAAAATGTACGTTCTCCATGCCATGGCGTTTCCCATCTGGGTCATGGCAATCAATGTGGCGGCCGTGTAAAAAAAATCACGACTGCTAAAATTGGCAGTGCTAATGGAGAGAATGTGCTGATTGAACTATTTACAGAGACAAATGAAAATAGGACAAAAATGTTAAAATTTAATTAAAAATTTTCTGCTGGTACATCAATTTTGTGATGAACGTAGCTACTTTATTGTATCCATCTAGGTATTTGCAAGAGGTGTCAATGACCTGCAGTCACCCTCTTTCAGCCATAATTTTAGCCTGTGCATGCTTTTTCCCTCAACTTAAACACATGTGCAGCTACAGTTACACACTTTGGTAAGAAAACTGTAAAAATGAAGAAAAAAATACAAAATTATTGTAAAATAATGAAAACCCACCTTAGTTTCATAGAATACACTTTTACACACTTCATTTCAGGTTCCATCAAAAAGAGAATCAAAAATTTGTCGGAAATCAATACAATACAATAATTAAACCCATTTTCCAGAATGCCAGAAAATTAAAATATTATAATTAAGTAACCAATGAAATTTTAGCTTAAAACATTCCATAGTAATATTAAAGAAAAGTTAACTCTAGTAACAATAGGAAGATCAACAAAAGGGAGAAAATCCAACACAGACACAAGCCATGGCTCGAATAGCGTAAATTGACCATAAATACAACTAAAAAGAAATAATTAATTAATCCTAATTGGTATCTCAATAATATATTTGTCAATATATGCCTCACACTCACAGACAGAAGTGTTCTTAGTAATCCATGCACCCATCATCCATGTGATGCTACAGCCCATGTAGGGCTTTGGCCTGTCTCACCACATTCTTCCCCTCAGACCTTAATGATGCTTTTCTTTGTAAAACCACACATAATTGTTTATTTTTTGTCACCTATGGTGCAAAAACTATTTAGAATGTCCTGGTTGTAAATTTGAACTTTTTAAGTTCCTGGTTTTAAATTTGAAAATTTTAAATGTCCTAGCTGATTTAGATATTTTTTAATAAGGTCCCCTTATATCTTTTAAGTTATATTGCTTTGGAAAAAATACTATTTTAATAGTATTTACTTCCAACAAACAGCTAGTTTATCATACAATGTTTCATGCAATCACCTCGCCAGTACACAGAAAATAGTTGCATGCCATATCGAAGCACATTTTTCACAACTAAAATGTTCTGCAACAAAAAAAATAAAATATTTTACATAACTACGAAAATATATGTCTGTACTCTAAAATTGTTTTCTTCTTAAATTATATTACTCTGTGTGCTAAATAAATATATTTAAACTTGGCTTGTATGCTACACTTTGTAACACTATACTTTTAAGGTAAGGGCACTCAAGCTGCATAATTTTTAGCTGCTTTAAAGTGTTTGGTAAACAAATACTTAATCAATAGGCCCACCGAACGGAGCCAATCAAAATCTAAGGAAG